ACATAATGTAAAACGAAAGATCTTGCCGGAAACATGACGTTGACGTTTAGCGAAAATATTGTTTTTTGACACTTTTTTATGATAAAATCGTATATCGTGTGTATGTGTTTTTTCTTTAAACTTGAAATTGGCCGATTGCGAGACAAATTTGGCCATTTTTTTTTTAATTTGTTTTAGGGCTCTGGATACAAGTCCTGTTTAGCCCAACTTAAAGTTTTACAATATAAATTACAAAAATTAAAGTCAATGTCAAATGTCAAATAATAATAAATGTCAAATGTTGTTTCTCTGTTCTGACGAACTTATTAAAAAAAACTTAATAACAATCACAATTTCTTCACATTCTATTATTTACATTTTTTAAAGAATGTTGTGGTGTGGCACTATACGAAATTAAATTATTTACCCATTTTTGTAGGTTATAAAGAAATAATATGTGGGTGTTTATTTAAAAAACATTAACACAAAGTTAATAAAGTATAGGTATTAATAAATATATGATTGTTGTATCAAATAGAATTTTCTTATTTTTCACTAAAATAAAAACTAACTGTCTTTTTTATAAAATAAATGACCTTTTCATTGTGCCATATATTATGGAACTATTTAAATTATTTAGCTGATTGTAAGAAACAAAATGTTGGTTTGTAGATTAATACTGTAAAATTATTATTTGTACGGAAACGATAAAAATATATTTTTGTGCTGCGACAAAAACTAATATTATAAATGTGAAAGTAACTCTGTCTGTCTGTCTCGCTTTCACGCCAAAACTACTGAACCGATTTGAATGAAATTTGGTATACAGATAGTCTAGACCCTGAGAACGGACATAGGCTATATATATTAAAAGGGGGGTGAAAGATTGTATGGAAGAATCGTTATTTTTGAAGCTAGAAGCTTGAAACTTATTTTTGAGGCTGTTGATTAAATATAAATAAAAATGACATTCAATTTTATTCAAAATTACTCTTAAGGGGGTAAAATAAAATAGGGGATGCAAATTTTTATGTAAATTCGACATTTTTGAAGCTAGAAGATTGAAACTTATTGTTGAGACTGTTGATTAAATATAAATACATATGACATTTATTGTTTGTAAAAAAATACCCTTAAGGGGGTAAAATAAAATAGGGGATACAAGTTTTTATGTAAACACGTCATTTTTAAAGCTAGAACCTTGAAACTGATTGTTGAGACTGTTGATTAAATATAAATAAAAATGACATTCAATGTTTGTAAAAAATTACCCTTAAGGGGGTAAAATAAAATAGGGGATGCAAATTTTTATGTAAAATCGTCATTTTTTAAGCTAGAGGCTTGAAACTTATTTTTGAGGCTGTTGATTAAATATAAATAAATATGACATTCATTGTTTATAAAAAAATTACCCTTAAGGGGACAAAATAAAATAGGGGATGATAGTTATTATGTAAATTCGTAATTTTTGAAACTAGAACGATGAAACTATTTTCATTGGTTCTTTTGGGGTAGATTTTTAAATACCCCACTAATGTTATAACTGTGAAAGTAAGTCTGTTTGTCTTTCTGTCAGTCTTACGCTCCAAAACAAAACAAAAATTTAAATGAAATTTAAAAAATTTAAACACAGTTAGTTTACACCCGGACAAAGAATATAGGGTACTTTTGAATGTGAAAAAAGGATTGTAAGGGGGTTGCAATGGTACGCTGTATGGAGGAATCGTCATTTTTTATAACTAGAAGTTTGAGACTCATTTTTAGACATTCAATGTTTGTAAAATTTTTACTCTTAGGGGGAGGGGGGGTAGTAAAATAAAATAGGGAATGAAAGTTATTGTGGAAATTTGCTGTTTGTGTGGTTGTGGAAGCTAGAACGATTAAACTTTTTTCTTTGTCTTTTTAGAGTTAGTTTATTAAATACCCTACTGATATTATACATGTGAAAGTAACTTTGTCTGTCTGTTTGTCTCGCTTACACGCCAAAAATATTGAACCGATTTAAATTGAAATTTGAAACAGACATAGATAGACTAGATCCTGAGAAAGGACATAGGTTACTTTTTAATGTGAAAAAGGGTTGCAAGAGGATTGAAAGGGTAGATCCAAGGTTATATAGATGTATCGTCATGTTTAAAGCTAGAAGCTTGAAATTTATTTTTTAGCCTATTGATTAAATATTTATTTTTATTTTTTATCATTTTTTAAGCTAAAATGATGAAACTTATTTATTTGACTTATATTGTGTTGAGTTAAATATTTTTTCATTATTTACGCGGACGAAGTCGCGGGTACATAATATTATAAACGCGAAAGTTTGTGAGTATGGATGGTTGTTACTCTTTCACGCAAAAACTACTAAACGGATATTGATGAAATTTTACAGTAATATAGCTTCAATATACATCAGAATAACATATAGGCTATATTTTATAATGAAATGAAACCGCAGGCATATCTAATTATTTTATATATTTACTAGCTGACCCCGCAAAGGTTGCTTTGACATATAAATTAAAAATACTATTAAATTATAATTATTAAATAGGGGTAGATGATATAAGGGTGAAAATTTGTTATTGTATGTATGTTTTAATACCACATTATATATAACATATATTATATCCCAAAAATAAAGAATAAAATGGTAGGGGACAACCCTTATCACGTAGGGGTATGAAGATTAAATTGTAGCCGATTCTCAAACATACTGAATATGCATATAAAATTTCATATAAATTGGTCAAGCCGTTTCGGAGGAGTATTCGTAGGAGGAGGAGTATAGTATTTATTTGAGTAGGTCATTGTGACTCGAGAATTTCATATATGAGATTTGATGAAGCTGTAACTATAGTTTAATCTAAAGAAAGATAACGATTGTAAGAAAAGTGATTATTTACACAGGAGTATAGTGGTCTCATTGCTGCAATATGCAATGACGACCTCGGTGGTCTAGTGGTCTAGCACACCGCTTTACGTCCGATGGCCGCGGGTTCGATTCCTCGCACGGCACAAACATTTGTATTCATGAGTATGAATGTTTGTATCGGTCTGGGTGTTTTTATGTATAATATGTATGTATTTACGAATAAAAAAATATTTATGTACTTGTATCAGTTATCTAGTACCCGTAACACAAGCTTTAGCTAGCTTAACTTGGGACTAGATGGCGCTGTGTGAATTGTCAAAAAAAGAAAAAAAAATGTACTATATACCAGGTCGACCTCCACGCAGTTCGTCCCCGAAACCGCTATGGTTAATTCACTAGAATTCACTATTCATCCAATACATATAAATAACAAAGTCTAACCACAATTGTACTAATTAGTACCAAATATCAATAAATATATACTACTCAAATGTGTAAGTAAAGATTTATCACCGTAATGAAATTAACAATAATCTCAAGTAGTGCAAACGCAACGTCATTAAATTATGCACTTTACAGCGATACACCATAAGATTCATAGTGTAATCGATAGCTCGCATGTCTATCAATAATAAACTCACCGCTGATGTGGTTATACCAGTAATCAGAGACCGTAAAGGGAGGAAAGTTAACACTCCCTGAAGCAAATGTCCGGCTCGAAGGACCAATAAAAGAAAATTGCACGGCAATATATTAACGGTAATTTACTCTAATTACTAACGTGTGTCCATTAATTGATTTTAAGGCTTGTTGTTTTGGTAATTGATATCTAATTTAATAATACTATATGAAGTAATGAAGTAATTACAAAAAAATATAATGTTTTCGTTACAAAACGGCCTATCCCAATAAAAATTAAAAAGTTAGGCATTAAGTTTTACATTTCACGCTTCTGGTTTTAAATGTAAAAATATATAAATATAATATGTATAACTTCTTTTACGGGTGCTAATTTGAGATGGTGGGTATCAGGTCGTTGCTACCCATTCTAACTCTCACTACGCATGCGAGCCACTGACATACTCGGTTACTCGTACTCGCGGAGATATTTCATATCTAGATAAGCCGTAATTCGAGCAATTAAACAAAACGCTCTTCTTTTATTGTCTTTAACATTTTTCCTATGTTGCAATATTTTGGCAAGTTCTGCGCGAAATTAATTTCAAACCTTTACTAAATGGGTTAGACATAAAATGTATATTAAAACTATTGTGTTGCGATTAACTTATACAAAATTAAATAACAAATTCACTTTGAGTTTAGACACAATGATTTTTATGTTACTCGAGCCAGCCTTTTTGTATGTTAGTAACTTTTTTAGAATGTCATATATAAAATCGCTTCCTGTTTTTTATTTTATATTCTAGATTTTAATTTATATAGACATGTCACTATCACCAATTCAATATCTTTATCCTCATTTCCTAATGTTTCTACTTCCTTAATTTTCTTAGACCCATCGTTCATTTCTTGTGCCGTCATATTTTTTTTACTGTTACTGAACTTATATCATCCATCAACAAGTTTTATCTAGTGACAAAAACAACAATGTAATATAGATAATTAGAAATCGATCCATAATATACACCGTTGAATATATCAAGCATCACGCACGAAAATATAATGTCAAATATGAAACTACGTATTTTTCTGGAGTAAATTAAAAATAATGGTAATTACTGCCATTTACGTATAATTTGCGTATTTCTTCCTTACGCCACTTCTAGTAGGAGACTGCGCACATGTCATGTGAAGATCGGCGTATAGTCTCCGGCGCCGGCGGGCGGCGAGCCGCTCCGGCGATTTCGTGCATTTTTTGCAAGTGACGAGTTGGATTTCTAAATAATTTAAATACGTGCACGATGTTGGAAACGCATTAAACGCAGATAGCGAATTAATTGCAACACAGAATTGGGTTTCTGTGTATCGATTTGCGTGTATGTCGCTCGCGGCTTTTAATTGAGTTTTAACTTTTAATTACGTTGACGTTATTGGGGCAGTGTAATTGTGAAATTAGTTGACGCACATGTATATTTTAGCTTGTAAATTTTCGTATAGTTATATATGTATTAACACCATTGTTTACACTTACTTTTTTTATTGATACGACTAGTGAATCCAATTAAAACACAGAACCATGTCACTGTCACAGATGCGATTGCGAGCACTTGCGCGACGCGTGGTAATCGGCTGGACGGTTGCGTAGGAGACGCGTGCTTGCCTTTCAGATGCGCGGACGCAACTGAGGACCGAGCTCAGGTGAAATGATCCACCGACACGGGAGTGGAACGAAATCGCGTAAGTTTTGTTGCAGTTTTACGATACTAGTTATAATAAACGGAAAAGTGGATCTAACTATATGTAAGCAATCATACCCGAGTTGTACGATGAAATTTAAAATACATTAGTCGCAGAGTTAATAGATTTAAAATTATTTTAAATTACAATCTCGCTATGTGAGGCAATTGCGCTAAGAAATTTCATGATAATGAAGTGAATAAATTTGCTTATTTACATTTCTGTTCGATCGTATATAAATATATAGTCAGACGTACACAAGCCTGACTAAACACATAATGTGTTTATAATCATCATCATCATTATCTTGTCAACCTATCCATCGACCATCGAACATAGATCTTCCCCTAATTTCGCGGCAATATATGAACCATCAGTGTCTATCAACAACTCAACTGTAATAAATCTCATGTTCAAAAGTAATGAAATCAGGTCTGGTATACTATCACCAGGAATTCACCAGAACATCACCAAGTTCGATTCCAGCTGAGATATATAAATGTATGTTATTAACTATAAGTCAAACAGTCCATATTATTAATTTAAATATATATTATTAATATAATTAAATGTACACATAATATACATAGAAAACGCCCAAACCACTATAAACAATTATAGCAATGACAAATGTGCCGTGGGAGGAATCGAACCCGCGACCATTGGAGGTAAGGCGGTATGCTTGACCACTAGACCACAGAAGCCGTCAATCCGACAATATATCAGTAGTAATAATATAAAAAGAGATACATTAAGTAAGAGGAAAGTAAACTTTGTAACCAATGCACCGATTTGAGAAATTCCTGAAGAGAAGTTTGAAAGGTATAATAATCTAAAGTAATGTTATACGGAGGAACGAGGATCATGTCCTATGGAAAGTGTATAATATGAATGTGGATGGATGTAAAGGGAGGGGACGCCCTAAGAAAAAATGAATGGATTGTGTGAAAGATGATATGAATAAAAGAAGAGTATGTTCAGATATGATGACTGGCAGTGGAAGAGAATGACATACTGCGCCGACCACAAATAATGGGATAAAGACAAGGCAATGATAAATAATCTAAAGTAACAAAAAATATATTATATTAATATATACGAAATTCATAAAGTTATAAGCACATAGCGAAAACCCGAACGAGGAACTATTCCACGATCTATATATAGGTATACTACTATGTGATGAAAAAACATTGTACTTCTTTTTAGAAAAATTGCGCTCACGCAGAATAATGAAATTTCGCACACTTTTAGTGAATAATATATTTTCCAAAAAAAATGCAACGTCATCATCATCGCAGCCCGGAAGACGTCCACTGCTGGACATAGGCCTTCCCCAAAGATCTCCATGACGATCGGTCGTGCGCTGCTCGCATCCAATGCCTTCCAGCGATCTTGACCAAATCGTCGGTCCACCATACTGGAGGCCTTCCCACGCTGCGTCTTCCGGTCCGTGGTCACCACTTGAGGACTTTATTGCCGCAACGCCATCTGTCCTATGAGCTATGTGCCCTGCTCATTGCCATTTCAGTGTCGCAATTATTTGGGCTATGTCGGTCACTCTGGTTCTTCTGCGGATCTCCTCATTTCTGATTCGATCGCGCAGAGAAACTCCGAGCATAGCCCTCTCCATTGCCCTCTTGCTTGTTTATGAGGCCCATAGTTAGCGACCACGACTCTGTGCCGTAAGTCATCACTGGCAACACACATTGGTCGTAAACCTTCGTCTTGAGACACTGCGGAAATATTGACGAAAAGATATATCGGAGCTTCCCGAACGCTGCCCATCCGAGTTGGATTCGACGATTGACCTCATTCCTTTGTTTTTTTGATTCTATAATCCTAATATTTTATTTTACAAAAAAATACATTAAATCTATAAATAAAACATTACACATACTACAATGTACTTGACACACGCACGGATATAAACTTTTTTGTTTATTGTTAAAGTATGTGGACAAATTAAGACCTTATTGAATGTACAATGAATTATGGTCAAATTCCGACCACTGACCGACCAATAGTAATGATAAATACCCCTTAAATGTACAAACACAATAAATGTCTAAATAAAAAAGCATTAACACTATTTCGAGGAGCAAGTAAACGGTCGCTTTGTACGCGAGGGTAGCGCGCCCATTTCCCGCTCCTGTACAAATATTTGTATGTCTTTTCAAATATTTATTACCACTTTGAGTAAAATATACAGCACGCTTCCGAGGCCGCAGTAAAACGTTAGGCTTCGCTGTTATTATTTGATGAAGATTAGTATACTAATGCTCTGTGCCAACAATTTCGCGTAAATACTAAAAACACCGTTTTATTACTTTAAACAATAGGCCTGTCTGCCCTTTGAATACATAAACATTGTATTGTTATGCTATGCTTACTTTATACACATATTCTAGAATATATTTCAATATTTATAAATAAATAATAATTGAAAACAAAAATAATAAAATAAATAAAATCCTGACAATTTACATGTCATCTAGATCCGACTTATGCGGCGACTATATTATGGGTACTAGATAATTGATAAAATTACTTAGATAAATTTTTAATACATAGACAACATACGCAGTAAACCAACCGTACCAATAAAAACATATATAACAATATATAATTATTTGTATTGTACAGAGATCGAACCCACGACCATATTAACACAAGTCAGTAAGTTAGTCAGTCAGCTAAACCGCTAGACCATCGAGGTCATCATCATTGGTAACGAACGATACGTATTGTGTAATAATGCGTCGTTGTATATTTAAAAAGCTTAGTAACTGGCGGTGCATATAAAAGACATCAACGTGTGCGCATGCGCATGATAATGTGAATTGATTGATTCACTTACTGAAAACGTTTTTTCATTCATCATCTTATTAAAACTAATGAAGTAAGATTTGATTAATCAAAGTTTCATTTAACATAGTTTCACGGAAATACAATTCCTAAAAAATCCTTCCTAATAATAATTTAAGAATTCGAATCTTAAAAAAAAACTGTAGGTGAATCGTGATAAAATTAATGTACAATCAAACTCAATATATCGATTGGTCATGTCGATTAAAAATGAAACATCATAATTGTCGAAGCTATCGCGTAATATAAACATATTAAAATATAGTGGATTTTAGAATATCGTTCAATTTTAAATCAATGGAAAATTATGACAAGCCAAGAAATATATTATAAGTATAATAAAAATAAAAAAGTGTTTTTATTTCTTGCTTTTTAAAACATGTACACATTTAGAAACATATACATGCTTCTAATGCACAACTAAACACATTGCAATTACTTCACCAAGCCAATTTAAACTATTCTATTATCTTAAACAAACCAATTAAATTAACATTATATGATTAAATTTCACATTTAATATAATCATAAAATACTAGATTGCCTACCTAATCTAATAAAAACCATAATAAATACGTTTAATAGTATTACACAAATTACTCATTAAATTAATTAGACCATTATCATTAAACCACAGTTTAATCCTAAATTCACGAGAGTGGCGAATAGAATCACCAATTAGATGTATTACTACTTTATCCCATAATAAATATTAACAACGATTTTAGATAAAAACATTTATTTAATGAAGACGTTAAAGCATTATTGATCTAAAACGTCAAATACAAATTGTTAAATTGGTTTTAAAAGTGTATTTATTGTAAATATAACATAATTACCACATTATGGAATCACCTTCCAGCAATGGTATTTCCGAACCGATACGATATTGAAACCTTCAAGAAAAGAGCTTATTCCTTTTTAAAAGGCCGACAACGTACTTGCAATTCCCCTGGTGTTGCGGGTGCTCATGGGCGGCGGTAATCACTTACCATCAGGTGAGCCGCATGCTCGTTTGTCCCCTGTGTTATAAAAAAAAATATTATTATGCTGACTGCAAATAAATGGGATAAGGAAGCAGCATCATCTTCTGCTTCTTCCTTATCCCATTTATTTGAAGTTTATTAAATAAAAAATTGTAATACAATACAAAATCAGTTTCTTGATTTCCTGATCGATAAAAAATGTTGACGATTATTGAGAAGTGATATTCGATATAAATACATAATTGATTTTAACTATGATTTTTCGTACGAAGATTGTTCATTCTCATTCTTAAAAATTTTCAAAACCGTTGCTTATTTTAGAAGTAAAATAATAATATCTCAATACAATTCTCACAGCGCCATCTAATCCCAAGTTAAGCTACTTAGAGCTTGTGTTATCGGTACTAGACGACTGATATGATTTTTTTTTCTGTAAATACATACATTGAAATTACCAGATATAAACAAAAGAAGAAGGAAACAGGGATTGTTATTTTATGTTACACTATACATATAAATAAAATCGGAGTGTCTGTCTGTAATATTGAAATAACCGTTTTTTACTACATGCACATATAAATACGGTACATACATACTGCAAAATATCATTTTTACAATTTTTGTCTATCTGTCTGTCTGTTTGTTCCGGCTAATCTCTGAAATGGCTGGACCGATTTTGACGAGACTTTTAATGGCAGATAGCTGATGTAATAAGGAGTAACTTAGGCTACTTTTATTTTCGAAAAATAATGTTAAATTCCACGTGGACGAAGTTGCGGGTACAGCTAGTATATAATATAGTTATTGTATGTGAATGTATTACTTTTTGTTGTTTTGAATATTTATCAATTTTTTCAATAAAATTAAGTACTACTCTGTTTACTTTGTTGGATGCCGATAGCGCGGTACTAGGGATGTGTATACAAGTAAATATATATTTTTATTTTTAATATCATTGATAGAAATATGACTATTCTATAAATATAGTCGTATGTTACAACCACATAGCGTTTATCCAATCAACTTTCATGTTAAGATCATTGTGCAAGTGGGATCCGAGAGTGAAAGTGATTAC